TGGCATTTCCAATTGGCGTCAGTTAGCACAGAAGAGAAATGACTGGCGTGCTGTTTTGGACTCGGCCAAAATCGCTTAGGCGGTTACAGCGCCAATAAAGAAGAAGAAGTGTTTATATATGTACAACTATATGAAAATTAAATAATTTAAAGTTCATCGGACAAAAAAGGAACATGAGAAAGTAAAAAGTTAAATAAATACTTTCGTCGATTGTCGAATAATTTGACGGTAATTTGGACACAAAATGCTTGCATTACCATTTAGATTAGTACTCCTACTGTGCTCTGAAAAGCAATCTGTGCAAATTTTAAAATGATTGGCCGAGCAGAAGCGGTGTGTGCCTTGCTGTCACACAAACCACTCGACCACGGCTGATTTATGTTATTCTGCCCTTTAATAATTTTTGTTGTTTGCCAAAAATTTCAATCACCTAATCAGTTCAAATTTTTATTTTTACTTTACATAAATTATTTGAAAAGCATATGCCTAAACGCATGTATATTCCTGAAGAGCAAACACAGTTATGGTTCACTAAAGAACTGAAAAATTTTAAAAACAGAAAGTTGCGTTATTTTAGATTACACAAAAAAAAACCCGTTTACACTCATAGTATGTAAAATACTCACTTTTGCGTCATAAGTTTTTTGAATTAAACAATAAGTGTTATAAAGCTTACTTGTGTAAAATCAAACGGCGTATACTATATAGCCCCAAATCATTTTCTGACTTCGTAAATTCCAAGCGAAATGTACGTGGGTTTCCTTCCGCCATGAAGTATCAAAATACCGTCTCTAGTGATAATCAAACAATTTCTAACATGTTCGCTCAGTTTTTTAAATCCAATAATTTCATTAACTCCCATGCTAACTTTGACTATCCTTTTAAAGTATGTCCAATGAACTCAATAAATATCCCAGTTAAATCTCCCGATGATGTAGTACTTTATCTGAAATCCTGACTAGATCCCTACTTCTATTCTTATAAATTGTGCTGATTATCTCTATGAGCCGTTAACAGTGTTATTTAATTTGTCTCTAAAAGAGGGCGTTTTTCCAACTATATAGAAGGAATCGTTCATAACCCCGTTACATAAAAGCGGTAGCAGATCTTCAGTGGAGAAATACCGGAGAATAGCTAAGCTTTCTGCAATTCCTAAATTATTTGAAGCAATTATAATAAATCAGTTGACGCATTCCATCTCTTCTAGCATTTCATATAGTCAACATGGATTTTCCAAGGGCAAATCAACTTCTACAAATTTACTTGAATTAACATCCTATATCTCAAAAGCATTTAGTGAAAGCAAAGCTGTCGATGTTATATATACTGACTTCAGTAAAGCATTTGAAAAAGTGTGCCACTCGTTGCTCATCTACAAACTTGATCTTCTTGGTCTTCCACCTAATTTTCTACGTTGGATCTCTTCATACCTCTTTGATAGATCACAAAGGGTAATGTTTTAAAATACTATCTCTGACGTCATTGATGTTACTTCAGGAGTCCCTCAAGGTAGCCACCTAGGCCCGGTTCTGTTCATGCTTTTTATAAACGATACTTCTACAGATATAAAATTTTCCAAAATTTTAATGTATGCAGATGATGTATAGCTTTATGAATCGTACGTTTCAATTAAAGAAAGGTCTTTGCTACAATCAGACTTAAACAGCATGGCTTACTGGTGTCAAGTAAATCTTATGCCTCTAAATCTTAAGAAATGTAAAGTAATGTGCTTCTCGCGAAGAGCTGTTCTGGCAGTTTCTTATATAATAGGTAACCATAACCTGGAACAGGTATACAATTTTNGCCCCAAATCATTTTCTGACTTCGTAAATTCCAAGCGAAATGTACGTGGGTTTCCTTCCGCCATGAAGTATCAAAATACCGTCTCTAGTGATAATCAAACAATTTCTAACATGTTCGCTCAGTTTTTTAAATCCAATTATTTCATTAACTCCCATGCTAACTTTGACTATCCTTTTAAAGTATGTCCAATGAACTCAATAAATATCCCAGTTAAATCTCCCGATGATGTAGTACTTTATCTGAAATCCTGACTAGATCCCTACTTCTATTCTTATAAATTGTGCTGATTATCTCTATGAGCCGTTAACAGTGTTATTTAATTTGTCTCTAAAAGAGGGCGTTTTTCCAACTATATAGAAGGAATCGTTCATAACCCCGTTACATAAAAGCGGTAGCAG